AACGTGATGTAATTTGAATAATACACATCAAACATGTCACTCATTTTTTTTTACTGTAAGCTTTTTTATTTATTATCTTTGAAATGTATGCAGGAGTTGTGACACACTGGCAGTTGTGCACGCTCTGCAGAGCCGACTGGAGACGCTCCTGTCTGCAGGGTGCACAGCTGAGCTTGGTGAAGTTGACACCCCACCCACGTAAAAAATTCCAGTAAATACAAGGAGTGGTTAGTGCTACGTTTGTGCTGCTTTGGTTTCTGAGACACAGCTGAAGGTGGATGAAGATGCTTCATCCCCGCGGGACATGCGGTCCGTGTCTCTGCTGGCAGGAGCATGTCTGCAGGCTGTTGCGCCTGTTGCAGCAGTAACATCCACTCCACAGACATGGACAACGTGTCCTCTCGTTGTATTTTTAATAGCTAATCAAAATAAAAATGCACGATAACTTTGGACTTTTATGGGCGGAGATATGAGCTGCTGGATCCCAGCGAACAGTTGCCGTAACGCACACGGTGAAAATGAGGGAGTTCCCGGATCTTGTTCCAGCAGGACCTGGCTCAAATTAACCACTGGTTGTAGCCATTTTAGTGCTCGCTATAAAGCTGTGGCAGCCATCTTGAATTGAGTTGACTTAAGTTAGTCTTAGAAATGCACTCAATTATTGCTTTTTGAGTGATTTAGTAGAATAAATCTCCTGGTTCATCAAATATTTTTAATTACGTGTAAATGCACACACATACACACACCCACACCCCTACCATCCCTCACCCACCCCCCTCCCCCTACACACACACACACACACACACACACACATAAATGTTGTTTTCTAAACCTTAAACCTGTTGAAGCAACTGCTGGCCTTGGCTTCATTTTTACCTTTACGGGGTATATATGTGATTAAACAGATTATTTTCCTCACGTTTTGATCACAAAAATATTACACAGGCATCGTTTTGAAAAACACTGGATTTATAATATTTAGATGCTCCATAAGAATAGACTCTCCTTTTTTTTTAATAGACTCTTTTTTTAAACCTGCCTCCACCCTCATTTGCCCCACTCTGGGCTCTTGAGCAAGGTCCTTACCCTCCCATCCCCCACCCCCCACATCTGCTCCCTCGGCACCCATAGCAGCTCTCTGCTCCACAGAGGGCTGTGGTAGCTCGGTGGTCTGTGGTTGTGTCAGGAAGGACATCCGGAGTTAAAACAGTTGCCAGGTCTTTGTGCGAGTGAGTTTGCTGCAGGTGACCCCTGAAGAAAGGAGCAGCCAAAAGAAGAAAAGAAAAAAATAAGAATAAACTCTCTTTAAGGAGACTTTATGCTTTTTAAAATTATGATTGTTTATTTTGACATTTTCTAACTCAGTTTGATCTCTCATAATCATGAAATGACTTCCATTAAAATAAGTTATTTCCTTTTATCCAATTTGTGGCTGTTTTGGAGACCAGCATGTTTGTATTGTACTGTACTGTATTTATTTATTTATTTATTTATTTATATTGTTGCTGTATTTGGTAGACACTGCTTTGTCAGCAGGTCAGATAGTTTTTCTTCCTCTCCTCTTTCACTTTCTCTAGTTTTACACATGCATACACACACACACACACACACACACTTCTGCATGCAGACACTCATAATCTCTGCTTTGTCCTCCTTTCCACTCCTTCCTTCTGCATGAAGGCAAACTCAGCAGACCTCCAGGCTGCCAGGGAGCAAAGGCATTCTGGGTAATCCACGGTGCAAGGAGGGAGTAGGAAAGAAAAGGGAGGGAGGGAGGAGAAAACACAATCACCTCTCACTTGATGCTGTGCATGATGTTAAACACTCGGAAACACACAAAAATACAGAAACCAACCAAATCCATTGTGAACCACGGGGATACAGTATCCATCTGTACAGTCGTCTGCTGAGACAAATACGGGCAGAACATGAGATCTGAAAGGCTGCAGCATTCTCCGGTTCCATGTATCCGTCTGAACATTAATGATGGGGGAGATGTGAAGGAGGCTGAAACAGGCTGAGGGAATGGTGAGGGTGGAGCAGCGGAGGATACAGGAGTGTCGTCAGTCTGCTTTTATCTCAACTCTGATTAAACCTTGTTCCTGTCTGACCTAAAAAGTCAGCTGGCGGAAATTTCAGAGGCTGTGGGCGAATTTCACCGGCGCTCTTTCCACCCAGCCAACACCATGAGGCTGAGGGAGAAGATCACAAACATATTTCAGATATGGAGAAAAAAAAATACAGCTGTCCTGCACTTAGGTGCTCACTATTATTCTTTGCAACCCCATTTCTGAAGAAGTTGAGCCAAAGTGTAAAATATGAGTAAAAACAGAATGCACTAACTTGGAAATCTCATAAACCCTTATTTTATTCACAGTAAACATGTCAAATGTTTAGAGAACAAATCTTTGGAGAACAAAAAGGTAAATCTGTATTTGATGGCAGCAACATGACTCAAAAACTGGACAAGACCTGGTTTGCCACTGTAAAGCGCCCCCTTTTTCTTTTAACAACAGTCTGTAAACAACCAGAAACTGAGGAGAGCAGCTGCTGGAGTTTTTGGAGAGGTGTGTTGCCTTGCTGAAATATGCAAGGTCTTGCCTTAAAAAGAGATGATGGGAGCATATGACATTCCAAAGTCTGTATGTGTTTATGGTGTAGGCATTTATGGTGCCTTTCCAGATGTGTAAGCTGTTTGTGCCACGTGCACTAAAGCATCCCCATACCATCAGAGAGGCAGGATTTGAATTGTGTGCTGATAACAGGCTGGATGGTCTCTCTCCTCTTTAGTACAAAGAATGTGGCGATGGTGGGTTCCAAAACAAATTTCAAATTTTGATTTGTCTGACTGGCTAAGTTGGTAGAGTTGTTCCCTCCCAGCAATAAGGTTGCTGGATAAAATCCTGGCAGGGGATGTTTCTGCTGGGTGGAGTTTGTGTTGGATAAAACCTTAGGACGCTGGTTCGTATCCGGCTCGAAGGACCAAAATGTTGAATAAAAATAGCCTTACATTATCTATACTTACTTAAAAGGAGCTCACACATCAAGACCAAAGAAGATTTTTAACCCAGTTTACTCACAAGGGCAGACGATCACGAAACAGGTTTATACAGCTATTCAAAGTTACATGCTTAAAGCCCCATCATGAGAATCTGCAACGGGCAGTGTACAAGAAGTGTTTTTTACATACACTTATCAGCACTACAGGTAATGACGACCTTGGCTCCCCAGCTCACAGACCGTCCTTGGAGTTATTAGGTGTCTGCAGACTCCTCTCTGAACTCATACACATGGTTCAACATTAATTTAACATTAGCAGTGATAAACATCCATAAACCTTTACCAAAGTTCCCCTGACAGTTTGCATGTTCTCTCTGTGCATGTGTGGGTTTTCTCCAAGTACTCCAGTTTCCTCCCACAAACCAAAAACATGCATGTTAGATTGATTACCGGTAGTAACTCTAAATTGTCCAACATAGTGAATGGTTGTTTGTTTCTATGTGTCCCTGTGATGGACATGTGACCTGTCCAGGGTGTCCTTCACTTCTCGCACAGTGATAGCTGGATATGGGCACCAGTATTTGTGGATTGAATTTGTGGATTGAACTGACCTAGTATTTGTGGATTGAATGGTGAACTGTGTTTAAAGACAACGAGTTGTGGAAGTGTTCATGTTCCAATCTGTCCAGAACTAAACCAGTGCTGCCTGGGGGCCTTGAGATCTCAAACATCTGTTATTGACTTTCAGTTTTGTCTTTTGTGCAGAAATGTCTCCAGATTCTCAACATTTATATATATATATATATATATATATATATATATATATATATATTATGAAATGTAAATGATGGGATATTTAAAGTCTTTCCAATATTCCGTTGAGTATTTTGTACACTCTTTTTATCTAACACTATTTTAATTCAACAATTTTTTGCAGACTGCTGAACCTCTGCCCATCTTTACGTCAGCCCTAAAAAGCTATTTTTATGCCTACTAACTCTTTGCCAGTTAACCTAATTAGTTACGAATTGGTTCTTTCTTAATTATACCATTTATTTTCAAAACCTTGTGGTGCCACTGTCTTAATATTTTAGAGATGTGTTGTTGCCATAAAATTTGTAATAACCTTTAAAAAAAAAAAGTGTAATTTTCAAGTTTAAACTTTGATGTTCACGAAGTTCCATTGTGAATAAAATGTGTGCTTATGAAATTTGAAAATCATGTTTATTTATTTTCGTTTATATATTTTGCATTTAACACAATGTCCCAACACTTCAGAAATGGTGTTCACATACAGACGTCCACTCTTCCTGGCCCGCACGTTGTCTTCTCTGTGTTTGGGGATCGGATGAGGGAGAGGCCACTGCTGGGTGGTAATGCAGTGTTAGTAGCACAATACCACAGGAAGCAGACAGAGGCCCTGCTGAAATGATCCAGCACCACCCGTCTGAGACAAGAACAACAACAAAAATAACACAATGTCCAAAAATAAACCTGGGCCAGCAGGGCTAAGCTTCTGCAGAAACAGACAGTCCTGCAGAGGGAGAGGCAGCAGGAACATTACAGTGGAAGACGTGCTAATTATTAATGTTTTAATGTTTATTTAATTTTTTTGGGAGAGTTTATATCTCTGTCATTTGTGACCATTCAAAATGCTAAAGAAATAGCATGTGAAATAAAAATGACAGTAGTGCTGAAAAGAAAAATCCTTTATTATATGTAATTTTAACACTAAAAATATTATTATATTGCACATTATCTTGAAACTTAACATCCATCCATCATCTTTTACCTACTTATTCCTTTTTGAGTTATAAAATGGATGCACTTTGCAGAAAACAGCAACATTTAATGGTTACCACAAGAAAGGTGTGTCTGATAATTCTTTTATAAAGCCCGGCTAAATGGGCTCTGAACTTCTGATGAACAGAGAGGTGTTCGCCTACAGGTGAGTCAAAGGTGTGTGCTGACTTCTTGTTTCTTTGTTGGAACTTTTTCAGAGTGCAGCAGCGGCCCCGAGCCCCGTCCTCGGGAACCTCCCCTCAGGAGAGAGCATGCCAGTGGGCCCAGTCCCTCCAGGGTTCTTTCAGGTACGCAGCATCAATGCACAACAGTTAGAATAAAGTATTTAATAACCTGATGGAGTTGTACGTGTGTATCAATCAGCTCAAGCTTCAACAATATCCTTGTTTGCTATTTCTCTGACTGATCAAATCATGAAAAAGGTGGAGAGGACAAACTGTGTTTTTTTTTTGTTTGTTTTTTTAATGTATAAAATTAGACGTAAAGAAGTTTTGTGACATTTTAAAGAAGAAACGTCTAACAACAAACAAAGTGTTTTGTTCAATTCAGGACCTGTGTCGTCTAAAGAGAGAGAAAACTTCCTGTAGTGTATTTTTTTTGTGTTTCTAAATTATTTGCAGAAAACACACACACACACAGGGTTGCCTCACATCACATCCAAAGGACTCCACTCATTGTTCATCGATTTCCTGTCGTTGTCAGTCAAATTCAGATGACAGCATCTGACACAGATCGATAACCTGCTACAACATTTCTTAGTTCTGCTTTCAAAATATCTAGAGTGAGTTTGCATCCACATGTCCACTTATTAATAAACCTCCTCGTTTTTGTTTTTAATTGAACGTTCACATAAAAACAAAGGTTAGGAGTCTTTTTGGTTTTTTTTGTCCTTGTCTAGTCACAAATTTTAGAAGCTGTGTCTCTGATGTCTCTGTGCTGCAGCTTAAAGCAAGTGATCAAGCGAAGAGGTCCATCACTCTCTAGTGGATCATAGTAGAACTGCTCCAGCGCTGCAGACTTTACTGACCACAGTGACGTTATTAGCAGACACTGCAGCACCAGTGAGAACTAAATCAACCTCCCCACACAAGTTGTCCCACGTCTCACAGTTACCCTGACATTAACAAACATCCTTTTGTTCTCTGAGACTTCAACTTATTTCCATAAAAATGTGGTTGACTGTCACCTTGCTGTTACTATAAATAACCAGAAATCATGTTTGGCAAATCAACACATAATTTGTGTCATTTTTCTTTACGGTTGGTAATTTATTTATTTAAAAGCGTCTTGTCTGCCTGTTTTTCAGCCATTCATGTCACCTCGATACCCAGGAGGACCCAGACCGCCCCTTAGACTACCGAATCAGGTAGAGAGCCACACGAACCATGACCGGATGGGACGGTAGAAATGAACTGAGTGTGACGGGGTGACAATGTGTGTTGGTGTTTTGTAGGGGCTTGGAGGAGTTCCAGGTAGCCAGCCGATGTTACCCACTGGGATAGACCCCACAAGGCAACAAGGTACTGACTGACACACAAACACAAAGCCGACATGACTTTAAATAGGTATTCTTGTTTTCTCAGTTCCTAGGGAACTGTATGAAATTTGATAAAGCTGTTGAAACATTTCCCTGCAAAATAAGTGACATTTTGCCTTAAAATTTACTTTGTCAGGTTCAGGTAGAAAAGATAAACCTCATCTTTTGATTAATCAAAGGAAATAAGATGAATAGATCAGGTTTCTGGGCCTGCTGGCCCTCCTATTTCACCTGTCCTTACCTGATTACAGCAAAGGCCCAAGAAAAGAAGCAACAATATCATCCTGACTGGACTTTTGTTTTCTTCCTCACAGTCGTCTTGGCTATAAATGTGCCTTCGATCTCTGAAGAGTCAGAGCAACAATCACAGAGCATGTTCTGAGTAAAGGGTGTTGTCAGCTGTTGGCTAAAGTGATATGTTTTTAGAAAGAGATGGCTCAGAAGAATTTATCAAATGTATAAAAAAAGAATAAAACTAAAAGGAGGTTTGCATTAGCAGAAGTGAAAATTACAAATATCAATGAGGCTTAATGAAGCTTGTTGTTTTAACAACAAAAACTGAATAAAATAATGTTCACATTCTGAGGAAAATGGTTAGAGATGACCCAACAATGTTCAGTCAGGTCATCTGGGCAGGTTCTTTTGTTGCTGAGAAGTTTCATCCTTCATCCGAAGGACTTCTTCAGTCTGAGGAGCCCACCAAACCAAACTGAATCCCACAAACAGCTCACTCCCAGAGTGGAAAAAAAAACAGTTTGCTGGTGATAAGATGGCCTCTGGGTCAACGTCTCAGCAACAAAAGAAACCGTCCAGATGACCTGACTGAACATTGTTGGATTTATACATGAATTAATGACCATGAACTTTGGTGGTTAGAGAGGACATTTGTTTAAAAATAAATGGACACCTAAAGACAAATTTTTAATCCTGAGTATGTCTTGAAGAAAACAGAATGACTCACTGAAAAAATGCTGCTTGTAATTTTTTTTTATTTACATTGTGCAAAAATATAAACACAAACTTTTGTTTTTGCTCCCAATTTTCATGATGCGAACTCAAAGATCTGGCTTTTTCGATGTCCAATAAAGTTCTTTTTCTTTCAAATATTGTGTAAATCTGTGTTAGTGAGCACTTGTCCTTTGCTGAGATAATCCATCCACCTCACAGGTGTGACACTTATGGAACAGGTGTGCTTTAGGCTGACTACAATAGAAGGCCACTCTAAAATGTGCAGTTTCATCACCCAGCACAATGCCACAAAGGTCAGACATTTTGAGGGACTTGGTCAGTTGGACAACCACGTTGAAGCAGTTCATTTCATGCTCTGGTTTCAAGCTGCTGTTTATACTTTTGGCCACAAGATATCGCCAAAGAAGAAAGTGTTGAAACGCTTCAATCATGAACCCTTTTCCGAAAGAGCTTCAGTGCTTCAGAAGAGCTTCGTTTGTCCCTAAAGTACACCTGTGCAATAATCTCATTGTAAGCACTGTATGCCACACCTGTGAGGTGGATGGATTATCTCGGCAAAGGAGAAGAGCTCACTAACACAGATTTACACAAGATTTGTGAACAAGATTTGAGAGAAAAAGTGTTTTTTTGTGTATATCAAACAAATCTTTGATCTTTGAGTTCAGCTCATGATTTTTGTTCAGTGCATATTCATTTTTTCTTATATACATTTTTTTTCAGGGCATCCAACCATGGGAGGACCGATGCAGAGGATGACTCCACCAAGAGGCATGGTACCCCTCGGGCCTCAGGTAGGGAACAAAGTAAAGTGTGTGGATCTTTTCTAAATTTAACAAGGTTAAGTCATGTCAACAACAACAAATTATTATTTGTTGTTGTTGACATGACTTAACCTCGTTAGATTTATCTACCTGGATTATTGAGCATACATCAGGATTTTTTTTGTAAATGTTTTTGACTTTTCATCTCCTCTGGACGTAGCTGAAAATATGTTTTTTCTTTAGAATTATGGAGGAATGAGACCACCACTGAATGCCTTGGTTGGCCCTGGGATGCCTGGTATGAGCATGTGAGTAAATGCAACCCCCCCCCCCCCCCCACACACACACACACACAAAGTGAGTAGCATTTTATTATCACTTTATACAGAGCAGCAACGAAACCCCATTATCCTGGGTTTCTCATCACGATCAGCTCTTTTTCCTTTATATGGCTTTCACTCTCTTTCACTACTAATTTACTGTGAGACTGAGAGTTGACTTTCCACTTTTTTGTCCTCTTTTATTGTATTTTTCTCTGTTCTTCTTGTTCCCATCACCTTTTTCTGGCATCAGCACATCTTGTTATTGCCAACTCTGGCCAGAAACAATGAAGCCTACCGAAAGAACCAAACTAAAAGTGTGTGTGTGTGTGTGTGTGTGTGTGTGTGTGTTTCAGGGGACTTGGTGGTGGTAGACCCTGGCCAAATCCTCCAAACTCAAACTCTGTAAGTGCTCAAACAAAGACACCTAGCAAAAGAAGGAAGTCTTTATAATTGTGCTTTAATTCTTTTGTTTTCCTTTTTTGTAGACACCTTACTCTTCTGCCTCTCCAGGAAGCTATGGGGTATGTATGCTCTGCTTCAATTCTGTGTTTTTGAAAAGCCCCCCAGTTCATTAATTCATGCAGGAAATCAAAATCTAATTTCAGGGACCTCCAGGAGGAGGGGGGGCACCTGGAACTCCAATAATGCCAAGTCCAGCAGGTAAGACCTGTATATGGTCAAGTTCAAGATTCTTTATTATCTCTGAGGGGCAATTTGTTTTACAGTCAGTAGAGATATAAAACATCCATACTACACAAGACATGGAGACATTAAAATAACAATACATGAAATCATCACTGTTCGTTAAGAAGCCTGATCGCTATCAGTCTATTCGTTCTACATCTGGGCTGCAGATACCTGCGTCCAGATGGAAGCAACCTGAACTCACCATGGAGTGGATGAACAGGATCTGCCAGAATCAGCCTGACCTTGTTCACTGACCTCGCCCTGTGCAGGCTTTGCTGATCCTGACAATCCCCCAGAGTTTGTTCCTATATTTGCACGTCAAAAGTCCAAACCAACAGATGAAGGTGAAAGTTGAGCGACTCAATAAAACATGAATAAAACATTCTCAGAATCAACATTAAAACCTCAGAGCTCCCAATAAAAATACATTATCTGGTGGGACTTTTAGCCTTGCAACTAAATGGAGAAAATTAAATAAATCCTGTCTTCTTACTGTTTCTGTGTTCGTTCTGTCAGATTCGACCAACTCTGGTGACAACATGTACACCATGATAAGCGCGGTCCCTCCAGGTGCAAGTCGACCAAACGTGAGAACTTTTCATCCATTTTCTGTTAGAACACGGTGCCGCGTTGCTTCACTTCACCTGTGGATGTTCTCTTCAGTTTCCTATGGGTGCAGGGAGCGACGGTCCGTTAGGAGGGATGGCTGGAATGGAGCCGCATCACATGAACGGCTCTATAGGTAAAACGGAGATGCTAACTGCTGCTTGTTTTTCTTCACGATGTATTAATCATTCAGTCTGAGTGTTTATTTGGTCATGGCGGTTTTAGTCTAATGCTTGTAACCCTTTGTCTTAGGGTCAGGTGACATGGACAGTATCTCCAAGGTATGAGAAGCGCTTTGTGCGTTACCTTGTCTTTGTGCTGCACCTCTGTTTGTATCTGCAGCTTCTGACATGGTAGCTTTCATTAATAAAGTTAAACGTTTTCAACAGAACTCTCCTGGTAACTTAAGTATGAGCAACCAACCAGGGACACCCAGAGAGGACGGAGAGATGGGAGGAAACTTCCTTAACCCTTTTCAGAATGAAAGTGTAAGTTATCAGAAAGAAAATGTGTTTACACTTACAGATCTCATATTTTTTTAAGAATAATTTAAATAAAAGCATTTTTATAATGTCAGTCCTGTAAACAGTTACGTTCTTGTGTGTCAATGGCTGCCCGGCAGCCTCAGAGCGACGACAACAATCCACAGTAAACAAGTTGTGACTAATTGACTTCAGAGCATCAGAGGAGCCGGAGACAGACCGTGTCCCTGTGGTTCTGTGACTTTTTGTTCAACTCAGCAGCTGCTGGCTGCAGCTTTATATTTGCCCAACTTTTAGCTCTTAGTATTCTCACCGAGACACCAATTTGTATCTTCAAAATGTGTCAAGAAAACATGCAGGATAAACACATACTTCGAATAGTCGTAACTTTACTGGAAAAAAATATATTTAAAAGATAAATAATTTTAGAAACAAACTTCTTACCAATAATGCATTTTCCCGTTGTCTTTAACATAAGATTAAATTTATTTAATGGATTTTAACTGGACTGTTTCCAGTTGTGCTGTATGAGGGAGAAAATGCAAAAGACAAAGAACTGCCCTTTTGTTTACAACCTCCACACTGAACAACATGTAAAAGTAATGAAGGACTATAAACAAATGTAGAAGATTATTTTTGTGACATATAGAAACAGAAATATGTTGTCAGGAAGTTATAGCAAAGTGTGCATTTGGTCAGTGATGGTTTGTTACCCTGAGAGTACAGAGTGCTGGTGATGAGGGGTTTACAGCCCACAGGGAATCTCTGGGCTCTGTGGTGAAAAGCAAGAGGCCATGAGCAAATAAGCAATAATTTAAATAAGCAGTATCACCACAACCAGGGAGGTAAGAAGGAGGGCAGCATCATAAAATGAAAGGTGTTTTATTTCTATGCTTGATAAACATCTCAGGAGATTCTATGTCGTATAAGCTTCGCCCTTTAAGGCCTTCGCTTTAGTGGGTTTATCCCGTTATGCAGAGCATAAGCACTGAAAAAATTAGTCCACGCCCACCTGCTGTGTGGGCCCCACCCGGTCCGTATAAATTACGTTAAGAGCGGGAAATCGGCTCCCATTTTTTCTTCAGCGAGCTAATATAGCACTGTCAGAAGAACAAAGAAGATAAATTGTGTAAATGACCAACCTTTGTGAAGGATGCTTGGCCCGGCAGTCGACCTCCGGTCGTCCGGTGAGTTCTCCTCCCCGAGGAGAAGATGACAGCAGTCTTATTCCAAGGTAAGCGTCGGGGAACATTTCCCAGTGACAGGTCACTACACGCTGGACAACGCCATCTTGTGTTTTTTCCTCTTATCGCCGACCCTCGGGGCGAACCGGATGGTCCCCCCGGGGCAAGGTGTGCTCAGCTGCAGCCCCCGCTGCTCATTCCCTCCTGGGGAGCGTAGTGTAGGTGGAGGGGGGCTGAGTGAATGCTCACCCCATCCCACCTCGTTTCGCATCGGCGATCACACCGCTCCCGGCCGACAGCGCCCTCAGGGGTTGCCCGGCAAAACCCGGGAGGAGGCTGACATGAAGGGACCCCTTTTTTCTACGTCCCTCGCCTTTTCCCGCCAGTTCGGATGATCGGCGGAAAGGTTGTTTTTCACCGACGTGTTTCCAGGCAGCCGCAGTTAGCAACAACGTGCGCTGCTAGCATATAGCATGTCCAAGGGACTGAAGGCCGCAGACCTGCCTTGGAGACAAGAACTCCCTCTGTAAGGCAACTGACGCTATTCCTCGGTCCCCCCCCCCCCTGGAGCCAAGCCTCGCGGAAGCTTCCGGAGCGAAGCTGCCCAGGTCGGAGCAGCGTCCCGTCCCTCCGGAGGAACCAGACGGCGACTAAAGCTCTCCAATCGAGCCCACCGACGTGTTTTTCAGGCAGCGGCAGTTAGCAACAACGTGCGCTGCTAGCAGTTAGCATGTCGAAAAGGCTGGAGGCCTCAGACCTGCCGGAGGAGACAAAGAGCTCCCTGTGTAATCGGCAGACGCCATCCTCAACATGTGCGCCGCTTCCACGGGTTGCCTGTCGAGGATTTGCAGCGTGGATGACGGTAATCCAACGTTCCATCTGGCTCCGTCACTCTCCATTGCTGCCGGAAAAGCTGCACAAAGACCTGATGGAGGGCCCCATCTCATCGGACGCGCTGTTCGGAAGCAGCTTGACGTCCATGCTGGTGAATTCGAAGCAGTCGGAGGAGACGTCGGAAGCTGTACGCCATCTCATCAAGCCGCGCGGCTCATCCCGTCCCCCAGCCCGCTGGAGGGATCGTCGAGAGCAGAGGCAGAAACATCGACGCTCCACGGCAGCAGCAGCTTCGTCTAGCCCAGCTCCACCACCAGCCCCGCCCGCCAGAGACCACCCCTCCTCAGTCCGGCAGCCTGCACTTCAGTGTTTTCCCCAGAGATCGCCTGCAGACGGCGCTCGGAGCAAACAAACCACAGGGCTCACGGGGAAGAAGTTTTAAGAAATGACGGTCTGCGGAGGATGTGTGTATAAATGACACAGGAATTGAATAAATGATTTTCAAAGATCAAAATGCCTGTTTTTTAGCCAGTCTGTAAGCTCGGATGAGCTCACAGCCGCTACACACACATCCTCCACTCATAAAAAGAGCCGGTGTCCTTAAATAAAGGTTTTTTAAAATCCACCTCCGCTCCTTCACATGCCCAGACGCTCACGTGACACCACGGTAAGCGAAATAACTTGTTGTCAATCAGACCCGCACGATCACCACCCAACGGTGTTAACGCGCACCCGAGCGAGGCAAGCAGCCTCCATCCAAACGGCGCTGTGTCGATGATGCACGCACAGCTGCCCGGCGCTCACCGGCCCACATCGGGATAAATGTGGGACCGCAGGCCGGGTCCGGTGGAGGTCCCCGCTCTCAGCGAAAACAACACACGCCTCTCCTGAATGAACGCGAGTGGCCGTCATCCACCGTCTCAGCGATCGGCAGCTCACGGCGGCATAAGCGTGAGACAGCTGAATGAATCCAATGACGGGCCCCGCCCTCAGCGAGAGCGGCGCACGTCCCTCCAGAGGAAACGTGCGCTCCCGCGAGGCTCACAACCTTCACTTCGACAGCACGGCGTTGATGACGTCACGCCCTCCACCTCTCAACGTTCGCACAGCGACGTTAAACGTGCAGCTTCTCGACGTCATCAGCTGTCACACGCTTCGCCTCAGCACACACCGCCCCGCCCGGACATGAAGGTTGGTCTGCGATCCAGACACAGCGCACGGGCGCGCGCAGAACAGCCCTTTCGAGGAAGCCTCGCCTTGGGTCACGCGGAAAACATTTCCGCGACGCATGACGGCGGTCGAGGCGGAGTTTTGGATGACATCCGTTCAAAACACGACACATCATTTAAACGTACGTCCACTCCACGAACGTCACGCAGAGTGGTTAAAAACATGCTCACCGGACAGATGGATGGACAGAGTGTTATGCAAGGGTTACACGCTGCAGTTTGCAACCCGACCCCCTCCGTTCGGAGGAGTTATAGAGACGGTCCTGTCATCACCAGACCAAGTCTCAGCCTTAAATGCAGAAGTCCAAGAGCTTCTGATAAAAAGTGTAATCTCAAGAGTTCCCAACGAGGAGGAAAACACAGGGTTTTACTCACGCTACTTCCTGGTCCCCAAAAAGACCGGAGGGATGAGACCGATTCTGGATCTGTCAGCTTTCAACAAAGCGATCATGAACAGACCGTTTCACATGTTGACAAACAGACAGCTGTTGGACAACATCCAGAAAAACGACTGGTTTGTCTCCATCGATTTAAAAGATGCTTATTTTCACATACCGATCATCCCAAAACACAGAAAATTTCTGCGTTTCGCCTTTCAGGGGATGAAGTATCAGTACAACAGGCTGCCTTTTCGGGTATTCCCTCGTGCCTCGTACGTTCTCAAAGTGTGTGGAGACAGTCCTGCATCCACTGCACAGAGCAGGGATGAGAAGTTTGTTTTACCTGAACGACCTGCTGCTCCTGTCTCACTCCAGACAGGAAGCATTGATACAGGCTCAGGTGTTAGCATCACACCTGCTAAATCTGGGCTTCACCATAAACTGGAAGAAGAGCTCGATTTTCCCGGCCCAGACAATTGTTTATCTGGGAGTGGTATTAAACTCAATTACCATGACGGCTCGTTTATCACAAACAAGAATCGACACTCTAAAATCCAATTACGCCACGTAAGACCTGGCAAAGTGGTAACAGCTGTCTCCGTCATGAAGCTGTTGGGAATGATGTCATCAGCTCACACAGTGGTCACGCTGGGTTTGTTACACATGAGACGCCTCCAGAGGTGGTTTACGCGTCTGCGTGTGGATCCAGTAAAACAAAAGAGACGGATGATCACTGTCCCTCCCTCCGTGAGAGCAGACCTCCGACACTGGGGAAGCATTCTGGCTCTGTCAGAGGGAGTCCCCGTCAGCAGACCCACGTCATACGTGTCAGTCTTCACGGACGCGTCTCTGTCAGGTTGGGGGGGGGACATGCCTATCTCAAGCAGTAGGGGCGCTGTGGTCCCACCACACATCAGCCCACATCAATGTTTTTGGAGTGTCGCACAGTGCTGAATGTGATTCAACACTTTGCTCCCGTGCTACAGAATCAACACGTGTTGATTCACACAGACAACATGGTGACTGCCGCGTACATAAACCGCCAGGGGGGTGTGCGTTCAGCCCAGATGTTTCACATTGCGCGGAAGCTACTGAGTTGGGTTCATCAAACCTGCTCTCTATTAGAGCGTTTTTACATATCCGGTGTTCTGAACAGAGGGGCAGATATGACGTCCAGGGGCGGCCCACGTCACGTGGACCAGACCCTCCATCCAGATCTGATGTTTTCAGACGCAGCAGAAGTTGGCAAAGCAGCTGTGGACCTGTTTGCGACGCGAGAAGAACGCTCAGTGTCAACTATGGTTTTTTCCCTGAGCCCACGAGACAATCCATCGCTGGGGGGGGGATGCAATTGCTCACAGCCGGTGGCCCAAAACGCTTTTATACGCGTTTCTTTCCCCCCACCTCCTTTGTTTCTTTACGGTTCCTGAACCGAATTCAGGAGGAGGGATTGACAGCTCTCCTGGTGGCTCCCGGCGTGTGAACGCACCATGGTTCCCAGGCCTGCAACGTCTGTTGTCGGGTCGCCATGGAACTGCCGTGG